CTGTGGGTTTGGCTCAGGGCCTCTCCGGGCCTCACCTTGGTGAAAGGTTGCAGAAAAGAACATTTATATTAACCTCGAATGAGAGCAAGCGTGCAACCCCATGCACGCATGTGTGTTAAATGTGTCAAACTGCTGAAAGTAAGCATTCCAAAGTACAACTGCAGTGACCATTACACGGCGTACGTGTTTATCAGATCCTCACTCTGTGTGCCTCAGATAGACCCGACTTGTACTTGAGAATTAAATCTTTTGAAATAAAAATTTTAAGATTGTAAACCTGTTCGGCCAATTCTGACTTTTTAAAAATAATTCTTCATTTTTAAGCATTCCTGTGGCTTCAGTAAATAAAAGAGGCCCTTGAACACGCCCAGCTCTGAGCCCACCTTACCCTCCTGGTCCTCCGCCTGCTGAAGAACAAGGGCAAGTCCCTCGGTGACAGAGGGCAGCTGCCCAGCCCACCCCAGCCTTCCTTCTCCAAGAAGCCTGCCCTGACCTCACTCTGCCCAGGCTGGGTGGGGGACCTCCTATTCCATGATTTCTGTGTTCACAGCACCCATTCCTTATGTCTTCATGACAGCCGCTCCTGGGGGCCCTGACACTCATGACAAGGGATTACAACAGCCCCTTCCTCACCCTCTGAGGAGATACAGCCAATGAAAGGAAAGCCTAGAAAATCAACCATTCAGTGATTCCAGGGCAGATGCAGAAGCTTTGAATGGTTCTCTCGCACTCCCACATTCTGGCCTCTGCCTTTGTAGGAGCCAACACCAAAACATCACCTGCATGGCTGGTGTGGGCTCAGGAAGGCACCCACTCTGTGACCACGTGAGCCAGTGATCTGCTGCCAGAAGAAGGAGGTAAGGGGTCCAGTTCTTCAGGGACAATGTGGCAGGACCCTGGGCATAGTTCTCAACCACAACAGTGACACACTTCCCTGGTGGGACTTAGGGATGTGTGGAGCTCCCGGTTTGGGTTGTTATCATGGATTCTCGGCAGTGTATTGACAGGTGTTGGGTGTGGACCTGAGATGTTGACACTCAGCAGTAAGGAGACCCCCACACACAGCCAAGCATGTCCTCAAGACACAACCACATCTCCTGCAAGGTGCCACCTCACATGGAGCCTCAAGAGGACCCACACACAAGGCCAAGCTCTGTCCCTGCTACTGTTAGTGTGTTTTCTGCTAAAAGTTCTCCAGGGGACACATGAGCTTCGTGACGAAGCAGATCCAGCCATGTCTCCAGTCGCCCATCACTCCTTGTTCTTTTCATTGCTTTAAGCAGTGAATACCTGGGTAGGTTTCCCCAGATGTTCGCCATTTCCTGGCTCCCCATCTGTCCCTGAGACTCACGCCTTCCTTCTGGGACCAGTTTCCCTCCTCCTCGGTTACGTGGGTAAGTAGTGCTTTCTGCTAGCAGTAACCTCTTGGTCCAGCCTGAAGGCATCTCCCTCCCTCCCTCCTTCTGTCCCTGTGACCTACAGGCCCATGGTGGCCGTCTTAGAATCTGCTATCTACTGGATCATCTGACCCTTACCAATTCTGGTTATTTCCCACTGACACTTTATTACACACAAAAAAAATTCAAACAAAAGTTAAGAGATTGAATACCCACAGAGTCCCCAGGTGTCACATTTTGCTGCTTTTGCTTTATGGGGTGGCTGTTTTGCCATGCCTTTCAAAGTGAACTGTGCGATCCTGTCATGCACCCTAAATGCCTCAGCATGTACGGCGCTCACTGGAGTTCCATGTTTGTGTATGTAATTGTTTTAGGTAATATTGACTGAGAGTGAAATGCCCTGATTTTAGGTACCTACAATGAGGCTGGGTGGATGCGTGCAGTCTGTGACCCAGACTAAACAAAGACACAACATTTCCACAGCCGCCAAAAGTTCCCTTGCGCCCTCTCTCTGGGTCCCTACCCCTGACCCCAGCACCACCCCGCCATGGTTTTCTGCCCTGGAGGAGTTCTGTGTGTTTTGCACCTGCAGATGTGATTTCTGTACCCAGCAAGGACTGTCAGGTCTGTCCAAGCACAATGCCTGCTTCTTTTCCCTGCTGGGTGGTGGTTTGACCATTTTTACTGGGCTTTTTATCTTTGTCTCCATCTCTACTGTGGATGCTCTGTATTTATTTCTTGCTTTATTGCACCAGCTAGAACCTCCAGTACATTTGGAAAGTTACAAGCACATACGCCCCGCCTTGTTCCCCCTCAGAGGAGGAACGCAGCCACTCTTTCGCTGCTGAGTTTGCTGTTGGCTGCAGGTTTTAAAAACAGGAGGACACACCCTGCCAGGCTGAGGAATTCCCCTCAATTTCCATGCTGACAGCCCTGCCGAGTCCTCATCCACACTCCTATGTGACCTGTCTTCTCCTCAGCTCCCTTTTGTCACTGTTTCTGAACATTTTGGTCACCATGTGACCCAGTGTGGTTTTTCCACGCTTCTTGGACTTGGGGCTCACTGAGTTTCTTCAATCTGTGAGTTTATTGTCACTGGTACCTCAGACTTGGACACTTTTTAGCCATTATTTCTTCAAATATTTTTCCTGTGCTCTTCTCACCCACTTAGGGCCACCCAATTACACCCACATCAGGTGTTTTGGCCACTTTTTCACCTCTAAAAATTTAATCTGGCTCTGGCAGGCTGAGGCAGGAGGACAACATGTTTGAGCCCAAGATGGGCAATTTAGCAAGACCCTGTCTCAAAATAAAAAAACAAAAAGGGCTGGAGATGTAGCTCAGTGAAAAGACCTTGGGCTCAAACCCTGGTACCAAAAGAAAGAGAAGGAGAGAAAGAGAGAGAGGGAGGGAGGGAGGGGGGGAGGGAGGGAGAGAGAGAGAGAGAAAGAGATTTAATTTGGGCTTTTCTTTATATCTTCCCTACGCCTGGTTAACTTTTTTGAGCCCATAAGACACAGATATAATAAATGTTCTGTGTCTTTGCCTGCTAATTCCAACATTTTGGTCTGGTTTTGGGTAGTCATTCTCTTCACCCTGGGTCATGTCTTCCTGAGAATTGACGCCAGGGACACTTTGCCACTGAACCACATCCCTATCGCTTTTGATTTTTAGTTTGAGATGGTATCTTGCTAAGCTGTCCAGATGAGACTCAAGCTTTCAATCCTCCTGCCTCAGTCCTGGGATTACAAGTGTGCACCAGTGCTCCTGTATGTGTAGTGATCTTTAATTGGATGTCAGACTTTGCATATTTTACTTGGCTGGATTCTAGATTTTTTGTGTGTGTGGATTTCTATAAATATTCTTGTGCTTGTTCTGGGAAATTTCTCAGCTATTATCTCTTTACATGTCTCCTTTCCCCACTTTTCCCCGTGGAATTCCAATTAGACATTATTATAGCACTTGAACCTATCAGTCACCTACCTCATTCTTTGGTAATTTATTCAGATCTATCTTCCAGTTACCAATTCTCTCTTTAGTCACATCTAAATGGTTTTAACTTCAATGATGATATTGTTCATTTGGTGTGGGGGGGGGGTCTTTTCCATAGTATATTGGCCTTTACTCTTTTAAAAACCACCTTCTTCCTATGTTTTCAATTGTTTTAAAAACACGCTGAATGTTGGCTTTTGAGAATTCTTTTATCTGAATTTCTCAGAGACATAATCTGGCCACTACAGATTTCTTCTGCATGGGGTTTGTGAGTCTTTGTAGTGAGCTCACTGTCACCAGCTTTATGGGGTGTCATGTGGCCTGTGCTGAGCACATGTCCTCAGGGGGCTTCTGCAGTGGCTTCTGCAGGGTCCCCCAGTTCTCAGGGGCAGCCCCATTGTACCAGCATCCTCAGTGGATGCTGCTGAGCCTCATGGGGTACACTTACCGCCCGCCCAGGGAGGAAGTCCCCATCTTAGACTACTCAACAGAAACCTTTTCCCACTGAGTCAAAAACACTTCTGGAGGCCCAGGCTTTGTTCAGGGGCTCTTGGTTCCAGGCCCCCTGGTGTGAATCCCAGGCCTGGCTCCTCCCTATGGAGCATCTCCGGGGACCAGCTCACTCTCGGGCAGGCCCCTCCAACCCTCAGCCCGGAGCCCTGTATTTGAAAGGAATTTCTATGTCTCACCAAGACGCCTAAGTAATTTACATCAGAGGTGTTTTCCAGGTAGTTAGTCCACGGTGGTGCTGGAAGCAAGTGTCCCAATTCACAGATTTGCAGAAGAAGGCCTTGCTCTGGCAGTCCCCACTGACATGGGACTAACAAATGCGAGGCCTTCACAGCAGATCTGGGGTCACAGCTGTGATCCACTCACAAGATGCCTGGGGCTGCTGTGGGAGGGAGCACAGGACCCGAGGGCTCTTCCTGCAACTCAGTGCCACCCGGAAATCACAGGAGCTCCAGCGCTTTCAAGGAGTAGAACTGGCCAGGACCCCCTCATCAAGTGCTAAACACCAGCCTGCCTGGATGGCAGAGTCCTCTGTACACTCTATACATCCTGCTCTCCCAAGTGGCATCTCTGACATTCGTGGATTCCCTGCTCCTGTTCGGCACACTGAGTATGCCGCCCAGCCAGTTTCAGCCACTGCAGGCCCTGAGGAGGAACAGGGCACAGCTGTGGCTCTGAACAACCCTGTCCACTCAGGAGAGACAGGAAAGAGCTGAGCCCAGCTCCCCATGAGGACAGTGCTGTGGGCCACCGCACAGGGTCCCCTGGATGCTCATAGATGAAATCCAGCCTCCCACCCCTGGGGTCTGCAGGTAACCCTTTTTTACTCTAAAGTGGAGTATATTTGTTTTAAATTTTGGAGAATGAAATACAAGGTGAAAATCTGGGTGTGGGTGTGGCACCCAGGTACTTCCTCCTGGTGCAGAGAGGCAGCAAGGCCTCAGAGGACTCAACAATAAAAGACAAATAAAAGTATTGGACTAGACAGTGTTCCAAAGACAATATAAGTGGCCATAAGCTCAAAAAAGGATGCTCAAGGCCATAGTCATCAGAAAATTCAAGTCAAAGCCACAGCGAGACACCACCTCACACACTCCAGGAAGGCTACAATTTTATTTTTAAAGGGAAAATAACAAAGGTTCGTGAGGAAGTGGAGACATTGAGGACCTCAGATTGTTGGTGGGATATAAAATGATCCCACTGCCTTTGAAAATAGTTTGGTGTTTTCTGAAAGAGTTAAACCTAGATGGGCCAGGGATTTAGCTCAGTGGTTCTGCCGCCTGCTTCTCAAGCACAAGGTCTCAAGTTCGATCCCTGGTACCAAAAAAAAAAGAAAGAAGAAGTTAAACCTAAAGTTACCATATGACCCAGCAATTCCACTCATAGGTGTACTATACCCAAAAGAACTGAAAGGAGAAACTTGTCAGCGAATGTTCATAGCAGCATTATGAATAATAGCCAAAAAGTGGGAACCACCTAACTGACCGTCAATCATAAAATGGAAAAACAGACTGATCTGTCCACTCGATGGAATGTTACTCAGCCCCCAAAAGGAGAGAAACCCTGATAGGCTATAAACTGGATGAGATTTGAAGACATTATTCTGGGTGAAAGAAGCCAGACAGAAGGCCACATACCAAGCCATTTTACTGGCACAACATAGCAGAGCAGTAAATCTTGGTTGGCAGGAGCTGGAGCTTATGGTACACGGGCTTGTCTTGAGGTGATAAAAGTGTCCTAGAGTTAGGTAGTGACGTTGGCTGTATGACAATGTGAATATACTGAAGGGGGAATTATATACCTTTTTATGTGAGCTGTATGTATCTCTACTCTGAAAAGCACTCACACCCGCAGCCACCCTCTCACCTGGGGTGAAGTCACAGTGCAGCACCGGGTACCTGGAACCTGTGACCCCATCACCTCTCTGAGCCTGCTTCCTTATGCCTGAAACAGGGACAATCCTGGCTTATTCCGCCGGTTATTGGGCCACGAAGCGAGATAAGGAGAGGAACACCCTGGGTTATTGTGCTAAGTGCCCGCGATAAGGCCTGCAAAGTAACACGAGGCTCAAAAACAGGGCCCTTTAAACAGTCACCTGGCGCTGTTCCCATCACACCTGTGGGTGATTCCAGACCGAAACCTGGCAGTAGTCCCTAATCCACCCTGGCTCTCACTCCCGCAGCAAATCCCAGCCTGTGTGATGCACGCAAAGCCTCTTCTCCTGTCCCGAGAGCCCGCACACGGCTCGCTGGCCTAAAGGTCGCGCACCTGCCCCTTCCCCGCAGCACGCTCCTCCGGGGAGCTCTGCGGGTCCCAGAAGGACGCCCTCTCCGCCCCGCCGTTCGGGGCCTGGGGTCAGCCTCCTCTTTCTCTCCCGCTCAGCTAGCTGCGTGTGCCCGAGTAACCTCAAGGCTTGGCACCACCGCCACAGCGCCCCAGTCCTCCCACTGCCTGGCCCAGGCCGATGCCCCGTGCATAGACCTCGGTCGGTTTCCTCTCGGGTCCGCGGAGAGCGGGTGGTCGCCCCAGGCCAGCGCACAGCTGACCGCCACCGTGAGCAAGAAGACAAAGCCGCCATGGCACTGGGAAGCGAGGAGGCGGTGCATCGCGGGCCCACCCGGTTGGCAATGTGCCTGTCAGGACCCTGTCTTCATCTGGGGACAGAAGCCGAAGCCCTTGGACCTGAGGTCCCAGGCTCTCATAGATCCACGTCGCTCAACCGCGCTCCCGGAGCGGGCGCGCACCTGCCCTCCGCAGGTGAGGCTGAGGGGTTGCTCTGCCTCGCGGCGCCACCAGGTGGCAGCAGAGAGCCAGCGTGGAGAACGACCGTGGCGCACACTGCGGGCCCAGCCCTGAGATTCTGGCCCCGCCCAGGATCCGCCCAGCGCCGAGGCCAGGCCCACGCCCCCTGGACCTCGCCTCTGACTCCGCCCAGGACCTGACCCCCACGGGGGTCTACGGCCACACCCCTGGGCCTGGGTCAGTGAGGGAGCGTGGTCGGGGTTGGCAGTGGGGAAGGTGAGCGCCAAGGCTGCCGTGACGCCACTGAGCCCCTGATGCTCTCTCTGATCGTTTCCACAGCCTGGGAAAGGAGGCCACCCAAAGACCCCCCAGGGAAGGCCGGTGGGCAGAGCCCTGGGCCGGGCTGGACGGTGCTGTGAGCCGCCCCTCATGGACACCTGGAGTCGCTGCCTGTCACCTCTGTCCTGGGCTGAGACACCACAACCCTTCTGGGCTCAGTGGGCATTGGCCCCTGGGTTCTTGCCCCAGGCCAGGCGGACATCGCCCCAGCAAAGTTCGGCCTGGACATCCACCCACCTCCTCTTGCTGGGCTCTAGGAGAAGGGCCCTGGGGGCAGCTTCCTGTGGACACAGAGGTGACTGACCTGAAACCTGATGACACAGAACGGAGCCCCAGGGCCAGCTCCCTTGCTGTCCTCTTCCTCCTTACCCCATCCATCCCCAGATGCCTTTTTAGGGTCTGAGCTGAACGTGAAGCCCAGAGCAGTCTCTGGATTCCCAATCTTCCCAGCCGAGGAGGGGACCAGGGCCAGGACTCCTGGCTGTGGCCAGGGTGAAGGAGGTGGAAGACCCCCAGAAAGGCCCAGGAAGCCCATCCTATCCACTGAGTGTCATGTGCTCAAGGGCATCCTGTGAGGGCGCCACACTTTGGAGGTGCAGACTGACCCCGATCTGGGTCCTGGACTGTCCGCTCCCTTGGTGGGGAGCCATTTCACATTGTTTTGTACTAAAACAAACACAGATGTCCCCTGGCATGGAATGCAAAATCACCATGACATCCTTTTGTAAAAACAGAAATGTTGAAGAAATTGTGAACCTGGGAGAGGGTGTTCAAGGTCTTGCCCATGGGCCAAACATTTAGTATCCTCTGATTTTAAAGCTGTGTCCATAAAAATGTTTGAAAAATTCCATGGAAAACTATCATCACCCACTCACACCATCATGAGAATGAGTTTGCCCGAAGTCCAGGGGGCACTGGTCTGTGTGAGCCAGCAGGTGGGGAGTGGGCAGTCTGGGAGAGGCCACCACGTGGGTGGCATAGCTGGAGGGACAGGCAGGAGCAGGCAGCGGCAGCCGCACTTCCAAGCCCCTCCTTGTCCATCTCCAGTTGTCTCTCCCCAGAGCCTTCCAAGCTCAGCCCACCCACTCCCAACCCCCAGACCCCTCCTCAAAGGACCAGGCCAGCATTATGAGGTTCTGTTTTAAAGGTGAAACCATGACCAACATACAAAGATTTTATTGAACACATTCATTAATGGTGAAACCAATAAAATATTCCAGTGGAGAATCAGAGCAGCAACCTGGGAAATAGAAGTGTGGAGGTGACCTTGAGGGAGGGACCAACATCTGTCCACAGACCACACTCTGCCAAGACGGAAGTGACTCGTGTGTGTTGGGACAAGGACCTCATTATTTTCACCTTGCAGTCTGGGGCCTCAGACAACTGCCCATTGGCCTGTCCACCTTTCCGTGTGCTGTGTGCTGTGTCCTTGGGGGGGCGGGAATCCTGCAAGCCAGGGCTGCCATCCTGGCCTTGTCCCTTACTGGCTACGTGGCCTTGAGACCCACTGTTCTCTGCATCAGTTTCTCCCTCTGAGCATGGGGGTAGCAAAGCAGCCCATGTGCCAGGCCAAGCTGCCTACTCCCCCTAATCCAAGTGGGGCTCTAACGCCAGCATGTCCAACACATTCTCCTCTCCCTGCCTGGGCACGCATTGGAGGATAGCCACACGGGGTGATGAGGCAGACACTTTCTCCTGAGAAGCCTGAAACTGCAGCAGTTATTTTGTACCCGTGTGGCACATCTGACTTTGGAACTTTGGAACTTCTGCCTCTGAGGCAGAGAGCAGCAATGGAAAGAAACAGCAGCCTGGGCAGCATTACTGAGCCACTGGATCAACCAGACCCAAACCCACCAGCTCAGGGACTCTTGGCCCCAGGCACCAGCCAGTCCTCTCAAAGTTAAAGCAATGTGATTTGGTGTCCCCAGAGCTTGATGTGTTCCTTCCAGCTGGACTCCATCCTTGTACCCCCTTTCCTGGATCCTGCAGGCATTGAGTGGCCATCTGTCTGATATGTCCAGCCCACCACTGCCCTGCCCAGGAGTTAGCTGGCACTGATGGTCAGGTCCCTGGAGAACTGCAGACATGGCCCTGTCCTAGGACAAGGCTTGCTCCAGGGAGAGAAAGAGACCTGCTCCATGCCCCCAAAACCAGACCTTAAGTTAAGATTACCATGCACCAACTCCGGCCCTGCGCCCACCCATGTCCACCTCAGCTGTTAGCACGGCTCTTTTTGAAAAGATGCAGAGTAACCCAGACAGCCAGGGCCAGGGGTCTCCTCGAGCCTTGGAGACCTCACAGTTTTCTCTGTGTTTATTTTCTTCTCTAGAGCCTGTTTGAATATACAGGATAAAACCTCTGTCTTTTGGCAGGAGGTGAAAAGATCGCCAAGCGTGGGATTTACGAGCAAACAGCCGGGCCCACCAGCAGCCCTAATGGCTCCCTAATTTCATGTCATTAGCTTATAGGAGCCCAGGTTTCCCTGACACAGGGCTCGTGTCTGATTTCATTGGCAGTGCTGGGCAGGCCAGCCGTGTGTCCTATTTTTTTTTTTTTTAATGTCCTGAAATGCATTTCGGGATCCTGGAAGATTCAGTCAGTCTGCAATTACAAGTAGCCCTTATTAAAAATCCTTGTGGCCTCCCACATCAAACAAAATTAATCAGTAACGAGCTGTAATGGTATTAGGTAATTTCCCAACATATGGCAACTCCTGGGCAGCCTGGCCAATCGGCCAACACAGGGCCTCAAGAATTCCACATTTATCTGTGTGCCCCAGGCTTTACACTGGCCGGGAACATGAGTGAGTCTGTGGTCCTTGTTGAGGGAGGCAGCAGGTGTGGTCAGGAAGGCTGCTGGGGCAGCACCGCTTGCCCTCTCTGGGCTCAGTGGCCCTGTGGCCTGCTCATGCCAGCCTCCCCTCTGCCCATGTTCCCAGGCAGCAGCCAGAGGCCCCTCCTTTGGGCCCCGTGCAAATCTCCCTCATTTATGATCATAGAACACCTGCTGCTTCTGGCCTTGCCTGGCCTTAGAGGTCCTGCATCCCTGGCCCTGCTGGCCCCACACCTGTCCCCCATGCTGCCTTTCTCATGGATTGCACAGCCACCCAGGGAGACAGTTCATGCTCCTGTGACTGCCAGCAGGGTCACCCCACTGAGGCTCCTTCTCACAGGACATTTATGGGGAGGTGGGGCCCACATTCCCAGCCCAGGACCATGCCAAGCAACATGGAGCTCGGGAGTCATTGGAGAGAGCCACTCCTGCCTGGCTCTGGTACAGGTTCCCACATCAGGGTGTCCTGGGGCTGCTGTGCTTCGAGGAAGCCCAAACCAATCCACATGGAGAGGTGACAGAAAGAGCCCTGAGATCCCAGGGGAGAGAAGAGGATGCCCCTGCCCCAGCCCTGCAGCTCCCTGAGACAGCAGATCTAACCCAGACCAGCCATCCTGAGTCCCAGTATGGGAAGGGGAAGATGGTAAAGATCTGAGTTACAGGCCTGTGGCTCTGTCACTCCCACTCGGTAACGGGAACAGCAACCTCCTTGGTCCCAGCGCTTCAACATCCTGTCCCCTCTGCATGAACACTTACCTCCCCCCTACTCCTCCCCACGGCTCACACTCAGCCACCCTCAGACCTCTCCTTGGAGGAAACACCGGCCCCTTGGCCCCCACTTCTCCCCCCGTGGACTGGCCACCTTCCTTCCATATTTATTGCTTATTGGACATCATCTGCTTCCCAGGAGAACACAGTTTCCCAAGCCCACTCACTTCTCTATCAAATGCCCAGTGCTGAAGACAGTGCCTGGCCCAGAGCACAGGCTCGGGACTGTGCCATGGATCAGTGCCCAAGTGAGTGACATTCGATCCATGGCGTTTCCAACCTGGTTTTGTCTTCTCAGTTGTTTTATATTTATCTTATGAGGTCATAAATGTCATCAAACATTCTAAACGATGGCTTTGGAAAGCCACCTGCAGTTTCATTGCGTGAATGTACATAACTTATTTAACTGGTCCTCTGTTCGAGAACTGTGTTCAATCCCCACTCACACTCATGAGAATTGCAGCCCAGGTTGTGGGGCTCCAGGCCGGGCTGCACCCAGCCCTGATCCTGCATGTGTGTGCTGCCATCTGTCCTCAGATATGCATGCAGATGCCACAGCCTGGTATGCAGTGGGCTTCTCCTTGCAACTGCTCCTACACCTCACCACTGAAAGAAACCTTGGCCACTTTTCGTAATAAAACAGTGTCATGCATTTAAAGCCTAAAGGAAGGACATTTTTTCTTACATGTTTGCTACATTTTCTTTCTTTCTTTGGAAATTGCTTGCTCGAGACCTTGCTGGTGCTTACATTGAGGAGGGACCCCCTTTGAATTGACTGACCCTGAGGTGCACAAGGACAAAGGTCATTCCACCTATGATTAGCCTGGCCCTTACTGCTCCTTGGTGTCACCCCAAGTCAACCTGTGATGCATGTTTTTGTTTCTCTCTGTCTTATTTAGCAGATTTTGAACAACTTAATAGCAGACTCTTAAAAGATGACTCTGCAGTGCTATGTACATGCTACGTAGGTGCTATCCTGAGTACTATGTAGGTGCTCAGTGAGCATTCACTGCCACCTGCTCTGCTGGCTGACATTCCTCAGGATCTTCAGCAGTCCTCAATCTGCCACCAGACACAGCAAGGTTAGACAGTTTGTG